TAATATTTTGCCATTTAGATCTATAGAATGAATTATCCTTTTTTATTTTGTTTGGGATAGTATAACGAGTTTCCCTATAGAGAAAGATTAAAAGCAGAGCTTTAGGCTTGTWAGGCTTTTTTGTCCCTAGTCCCCCAACACGGGGCTTCACAGATTTSAATTGTCAGTATAGTTGGCTTACCTTGTAGTCACTCTTTAAATATCGCTTTGAACATTTTAGTTTGTCAGTGGTGTTTTTCGCCCATGTCATTCCAATTGTCATATCATCACCGAGCTTTTCAACTACTTCTTCAAGCTCTTCATAGGCCTTAGCACCATCGGYGGTAACATAATCTAAGCCTTCTAGTGACTTTCGTGTCGATGCAGTACAGGAATTCAAAATTCTACACAGTGTTGTGCGGCTCATCGGTTGAAATCCAGACTCCTCGCAGAAGCTTTGATATTGCTTAACAATCTGCTCAGGGATGAGCGCTCTGATGACATTSGGTACTTTGATTTCCACATCACTTGATAATTTCAGCGTCTTTTCTCCAAATGGTAAATCTTGGACAATGTAGGGGCTGGTTATAAAGGAGAGAAAGTGGTCTAGCTTGTCGTGAGAAATATACATCCTCGTCTTTTTTTCATTAGTGACAACAGCACCTCTTCCATGGAGCAAGCAGTGGTGTCTGGCTATGTTATATCGATATCGCGTGATGTCAGGTATCCATAGTTGCAGCTGTTTGAAACTCACTTTATCCGCCATTATTGACAATATTTGCCTTCTCGTACTCCAGTGGCTGGCGTTATTATAACACTCTACTAAAGCATCCATTAAGGCTGAATCATAATTGCTGCTGGCTTTCAACGATTGGGACAGAGTACAGAGTAGCATTTCGGAATCTTGCGGAGCAATCTCTTGTAGGCATGCCTCTACAGCTTGCTTTGATTTTCTTATATAATAACGTTTTGTGCTCAATGAAGAGTCATTCCATGGTGTCTTCAAAGAGTGTCTAACTGGACTGATATCCCTTGAGGCCAAGAATGTGTTGAGGTGATCTCTAGATGASCTGGAAGTATCTTCATCAAATGATGACAAGAATGATGCTTCTGATGGTTCGTACATACTAGTAGGTGTGGCTGGTGGAATAGATGCTAAGCTTTTTGGGTTAATTGTGACTTCCTCTTCCTCTTTCTATAGAATCAAAACAAGGAAATGTCCGGTTATCTCAAGCTGATTTACTCTGGAGTTTGGTAGAAAAGATTTTGCTTAGTGTTATCACTCACCAGTGTCATTTCATCAAATTGTTCTGACAGACTTTCAGAAACTGGTTCAAGGGCTTCATGTAGCTTTTTTCTGCAGCTCGTGCAGACTCCTACAAGTAATCGAATAGATCTAGTATTATTTTTCACTTTAGACTGAGTTTGCATTGGCGGCGGAAGGGATTCAAAAATGGCAGGGCTTGAAATTTTAGTTCTCTGTATGGAGAAAATRTRAAAACCTTTGCCTGCCTGGTAAAATAGTGGAGGGGCCAGCGCCCCCGGSCCCTCGGTTCCGCCGCCCTTGCTTTGATATGTTATTCAAAMTTTTTCTGCACTTAATTAGTCCAATCCAAACAAATAGGTATAAATAGAAAGAAAGTAAATTGCAAAAGAAAAAGATAAGTGAAAAACGAATATAAAAAAAAACAAAGGAAAAGAAATGACCAAAAACTGAAGAAAAAAATGAAAAACGACGAAAGTAAATAGACAAATAAGATGTTTTAAATGAATAGAAATAAAAATAACGTACGGAAGAAAAATATGGGATCTCAAAAATACTAATGAAAACAGACAAATGTCTGTGTAACATACAATGTATGTAATCAATCGGCTTACCCGATCCAACTTGAACAAATACACCAGTTTCTTTTAAAATATACTTCGAGTGTTCACTACCCAATCCACGGTCCGCTTTTGGCCATCGTTTTCCTCCTTTTCCGTGCCCAGACAAAGCTTTTGGCACTCTGCATCTGGAATTTGAGCCTCTGCTCCAGCCAAGACCAAGGTTTTCACGATGATTTGGACAAATTGTCATGTCAGTGACATTTGACGTGATTTTAAAGATGGATGCGCGACTAAGAATAAGTTCGATTTCGTTTTCAGGACCTGTGAACTTGAATGCTGTTTTGTGCTTCGAGATGTCTTTACTGCACGAAAGCAACGGANAGGCCAGTTTTCCAGAGATCAACAATGTCTACCTGAGGCAAGAAAATGCTGGTTGCTATCATAGCGCAGCCACACTACTATGAGAGTAGACTTCTCGGACCCCCAGGGTGGCAAAGGTGTCTGTGACCGGAAGGCAGCTACACTCAAGAACGCCATAAGGCTATACGTTGATACAGTTCACGACGTGCAGACAGCAAGCCAAATGAAAGCGGCCATAGAGTCTTCAAATATCCCTGGAGTAAGAGTTATGGTTTGTGGACTAACATCTATTCCATCAACTCTTCCGGCAGCAAAATGGGAAGGTGTAAGCTTTATAAATAACATTGGATATAGCAAGACCACCATTAAAGTGTGGAGAGAATATGGAATAGGCGAGGGGAAACAGATTCAGCTGTCTCAGTTTGGTTTACCAAAGAAATATCTCTTACCGAATCTAAACATCATTGAAGACACAGCTTCTCCAACAGCTAGTTTTTTAATATTACTGCAAGGAAAAATAAACCAGTTCAATTAGCTGTAAAGGAAATGGAAGAAAGAAAAGTTGGAACACAAAAATCTGATGATRAAACAAGCGATGAGTCAGAGTCATGCCACTGTGACGTGAAGTTGTTCTCGTGCCTTGACGACGCATGCATTAAAACATTTCAAAGGTTCTCATCTTTGCAGCGGCATATGGATTAAGGAAAGYATCAGTACATTTTAGAAAACGAGACACTCCTTGACAGAGCTATGTTATCTTATGCTACAAAGCTTGAACATGGAAGTGAAGCATTGGCAAACATAGAAGATCATTTCAAAGAAGATTACAATAAAGCCTCTTTATCTTCGTTATCATGAGGAGCTTTGTACTTCTCAAAAATTTAAAGTATTTGCCTTAAGAGCGTTTTATCCGCTCCTAAAACTCATTTAAATTGCAAATATACCAACAAGTATCTAAAATAAAATGACAAGTTAAGCGCTTTGAAAACCTTCATCAATGTTAAGGTGTTAATCTTGGTTTATTAAACTAAACAACTTTTACAATGGCATACTATAAATCTTAATTATTCATTGATGTACTCGAGCTTCGGTGAATATAATGARCAAAGGCTAAAAGCTACGATTTAATTATAGTTTTAGTGAAATATAAAGTCCTAGGTTTTAAAAAGTTATTAACTGTAACATAAAAATACTTTAACGTGAAACAACATGTCGGAGTTGCCGTAACGTAGGCCTTTTTAGTTTATCTTTATCATTACATCTAATGAAAAGATTAAGAACAGTGGCTTCAACTGTTGGAATAAGGTCTAAGACATCTAGCGAAAGGCGTCCCAACGAAAATATGTCGCTTTCAATAGTTTGTTGGCCTCTTCCTGAAACAATTTCTGGTGCAATGTGTGGGTACCTCTTTTGGAAAGCACGTTGCTCACCAAGAGCCAATGATTTTGGTGGTTTAGGAAGTTTGATTTTTTTTGCTTTTCCGAAGTCAATAATCACAGGGTTGTACAGATCGCTTCGTTTTTCTAACACAATGTTGTTAGACTTCAAATCATTATGTAAAAAGCCCATAAAATGSACCCTCGCAAGAGCATCGATTATCTTAGTTAAGATCGCATACCAGCATATCTTTGTCAATTGCAACTTTTTCATAGCCTTCCAAAGGGTTAAGCTAGTGCTTTTATCTCCGTGAAACTGCAAAACTAAACAGTATGGTTCACTCGCGGTTACAACACCAAACACGGTAAACCTGGATGATCTCCAAGCTTTGAAATGACAACCGCTTCCCGCAAAACTTCTTCCTTGACTATAGGAGTGTTTGGGAGAGTTTTTTAAAGTTTTTCACTGCAACAACAAACCCTCGATAAGATGCCAAGTAACAGCTTCCAAAGGTTCCGCTACCTAAACATTTTTCAGTACTCTCAATCTCCGATATACTAATTTCCTTAATTCCTCCTATATGAAGGTAGGCATTTTCTGTTCTTGGCGAATGTGATTGTGATCCAGTGAGAGTTTGATTTTTTACAATCTTCACGGTCTTATTTTGCGGTGGTGAACATGGTGGATTCGTCACTTTGTTCGTAAAAACATCCTTAAAACCTTTGTTGACTTTGAGCTTTTGCTTTCTTCTTTTCTTATACGCTTTTCTCAACTCTTTAAATTTCTCTTTATCCTTGATATTTTTTCTTTTATTCCTARCCATATCTCAACAACAATAAACGCTGTACTTATGTGACTAATAAACTATCAATTCATTGCAAACAACTAYAATGTTTGTAACCATAGTGATGTCATTTAATAGTGTGAACACGTGAAAATTTAAWGACCCATGTTTTCATATGATTTTTTWAAAAAAATGGCTTGCCGTGAGCTGACCACCCAAGGAAATAGACAGTACTCTAAATCCAGATAACAACTGTTTGCATGTAATGAGTTGACTACCCAAGGAATAGGATCAAACTCTTAGGCCAGATAACAACARCTTACAAGTAGCAAGCTGACTACCCAAGGCATTATAAGAATAAGAATCCAGTTCCAGATAACAACAAATCAAACGGCAAATTGACTACCCAAGGAGTTTTAGAGTATCAATATCTATTTCCAGATAACAACAGCACAAAAGCAAACCATCTTGTTGTTAATTCATTATTTGGGCACGCAAAAAAATCGAGGTCAGACTGAAAATTCTAAAAAAAATTACCTAGAGTGAAGCCGGGTTCGAAAAGAACTTTGTGAAAGTCTTAATTTGTAGGTAAAATGCGGTCGAAGATTTCTTTTACTACTGCATTTTTTTAATTTTTTAATTTTTACACATCGATCAAAACAATAATACTATCGTTTTGTTTGTTCTCATTTCCTGCCTAYTCTCCGTTCCAAATAAATCGTATAGGTTTAAACCTACTATCTATTAATATACACTATAYGCAGCCCATTCTGGTTCGAGATACATCAAAGACGGCCTTCACAAAATGTTATGMGTTTCTATTTGAAACCCAACAAAATTACTTTCAATCGAGTCCTTTTATTAGTGTTATTATTGACAAGCGATGGCTTTCATGAGTTCATTTCCGGTTAAACAGTAAACAAACATTGTCCAAACAACCCACAGAGAGAAGCGTGGTCAACGTGAGCTTTCGATCTCTATTCTTCATATATAAAGCTATACGTAACATTCAAAACAATGAAAACTGAAACTTTCAAAGTTCTTTGCGATGCTTGTCAATCGCAGTTTGTTTCTGTCTGGGCTWTAAAAAAACATTGGGAACTKAAACACATTTACCTCGAGTTGCCAAAGCACTTTTCCTTCGATGGCGGCAAAGAGGTCAATATTCCTAAGGGTCGACGCATCGGAAAATCAACGGCCATTTACAGATATTACAAGAGATGGCTGGGTACGATTGCTGAGAGAATRAACAACGACCATCACCCAAAATCAAAAGGTAATGATTTCATTCCAATATGGTTTAGTTCTATTAGAGGGGTAGTTCTCGACTGGTTCAGATCATATCTCTCTAATAGATGGCAATACGTATCGATCGGTGACATAAAAT